AAATCGAATTTTATGGCGGTTTTCGCATATCATACACGGAGTGCGATTCTCTTCATGTTATTTGAGGTTTAAAAAAAATATTTTTTTCGAAAACTACTTATCCGATTAAAAAAGTCTTGAGGTAAGTAAAGCAGGCGTCCGAGGCTAAGAACTTTATATTTTTTAAATAATTTACAGGGTGTGTAGGCAAAAACTTATAGCCCTTAGCTTATTTCCTGAGATAAATTATAACAAGACACCGAAAGATTCTGACAAAGGGGACAATTTAGTTAAAGCATTTCAATTTTAATTACGCTCGTTGTTCATACTTATTGAGGCCCCTTGCTACCATTTGCAGGCATATCGCACTTTGCGACATGCAGAATACAGAAAACTTGTGTTGCGTTATCGACCTGAAAAAGCAGGTGGCAATCCGTTATTTACGTGATCTTTCAATACAATTTCCTTACGTATGCGGGCTTGAACTGTCAAGGGGTCAAAGAAATTCAAACTTTCCAAATACTGTTCGTTAGAATATCTAAAATATGTCAACTTAGCGCAACGACACAAAATTAAATATATCAAAAATGTTTTCACAACGAAGATGATATAGAAATGTAATAGTAATGCTTGTCTATGAGTCAGCTGTGTTTTCGGTAACACAATGGTGTCTTTGGTATTCATGTTATTCGTGTAAACTATATTTCGTAGCAATTCTATAGTGTTAAAACGAAATACGATTAAATATAATTAAAATATACTTACTTAAATTTATAGTAATCCTTTTGCTTTATCAATTTTAACATTAAATACAAGTGGGCCTGGATGAGTACTATTTATATCTACCATTCGTATTGGTTAGTTTTTGTTACCAGAACATTAATGTGTTGTTTGAAATCCTGTGTAGTTTTTGAGTCGACAAACACTTCCCAAAGAAAAAACATGATTGCTGTCAAACTATTTGATGATACTAAGTTTTCTATGTTCAGCTGGCTATTTTATAATTTCTGATTTTATCTAATCTGGGTGATCTTTATGACATGTTCATTAACTACCTAGCACAAATCCACCAAATTAGTTTTTTGAATAATGGGTGGGTTGGAAAATTACTAGCGAGTGTTGTTTACCCATAAATCGTTACAAATTATGTAGGCCTAATTCTTTAATCAGCAGGGAAGAGCATTCACATATCATATATGTGTCATCGCATCTCAGTGCACGCAATGGCAGATAATCCCAAGCTAATAATAAAAGTTCAATGATGTTTCTTTACATTTTTCTATCCGAGGCATGCCTGCTGGATGTAAGATTAATTTGGTCCATCAGAGAGATGATCCTCGTCCTATGATGTCCCCTGCACTATTTGTCCCACCGTTGTAATGAACGAAAAATTCACCGGAATATCGTTTCTTAAAATTTTGGATATGCTCTTCCTCATTGCTGACACTTATCAATAACCAAAATATCATAAGCATAATAGAAAACCGAAGACTAGGTCATTGACAAATCGAATTCCTTAAGCACTTCTAGGGAGGTATTGAACTTTACAAGTTTTTCGAATTTCAAACTTCCAAAAATCACAATTATCGTCAACCACCGGAGTTTTGATTTCTTACCCTCAACGAATTAAATGTAAAACATCTTCGTGCTGATTCGCAGGCATATCTTCTGCATAACAAGAATTGGACAAACCTCTACCATTGGTTTTTGCTCCTCCATCGTTGTATTATTATTAAACTAATTGTATATAAGGTACAAAAGCAACTAAAACGTACAGTTAGAATATGTGAAAAATGGGGAATACGGTTCCAGATCTTTACGTATATTGCTATCTTGGTGCTTAAGATTTTGAAAGGATGAACAATGATTTGAAGTAAATTTGAGTAAATAGTATAGTTGTAATCTGCAGAAAATTTTTGTTCTATTTAATTAACGGATAAATCAAGTTCGGCCCAGGAACGCTGCATGCTAATTACGTTTTTCGTATGCTTTTAACGCTTCAACGCCACTTTATCTGATCGTTATGAAAACCCTAGATTCTCGTCAAGATATCGCCTCCCTGTGTGCCACTTCTAGCCGCATATACCCCTTCCCCGCTGATGTAAGGCTTAATAATTAACTATCAATCAGTATTAATCAGAATGCACCAATTAAGGTAATTAATCAGGATAATAATTTGTGAGGAAGAGACCGTTCGGACTGCGATTTCGGCGGCGGAAAGGGGCGGGACGAAGGTGTACCCTGGTAAATTGCTTCCGGTCACTCCGAGAGGCACCGCACTCGATCGATTATGGGTCGAACGGATTTTTAATCGTCCCTTATTCATATATTTCATTATTGGTTAGTACGACGTGATTAAATATTTACGTATATGTTTGTTTATTTAATTTGTTAAATCTTTATATAAAAACTAAAATATAGGCAAGGCAACAGCAATCCTATCCGACGTCATGTACAAATCTGAATCTGAATATAAAAAAAAGTGTTTTATTTGCAGCTTTAAGAAAGTTAAATTTAATTTTTTAAGTTTAATTTGGTTACATAGGTTACCGTTTACCATTTATTTTGTTAATTAACAAATTTTCAACAATGAACTCCTAGTTTAGGCAGCTGTTAACATAACTAGGTAAGCGGGCAATCATATTTTTACTTTGATGTTTTAAACATATTTGCATTAGTATTTTTTATTAATATATTTATAAAAAATAAAATTTGAAAAGTTTTCGTAGATACTACTAAATTCATGCAATTTCTCAGAAATGCAACGTTTTTTCTACATGGCAAAGTTTTTTTTTAATTATAAACAATTTCATATAAAATCTGACCAACATTAGACGGCAGGGCGCAGATATATTGGAAAACCTACTAATATAAAAAGCATTTTATTTAAATTGAACAAGTTGGCGACTAATATTTATGGTTTAATAAAGCAGATCGGAGCAGTTCCCCAATAGACATATATTTTTAGGTCAATTAACAATGATATTGATTTTAATCAGCGCGATCATTTACTTGTTACGATTATTATAAAATTATATGTACAAGACAAAGTGTTGATTCCCATTTTAATTCAGAAAAAAAAAAATTTTTTAGTTGAATAAATTTGCCTGCTGAGGGGTATGAGCCTCCACTCACCCTAACACATTTTCTAATTCGACCATCTGCTCTTCTTGTGAATTTAAACTGCTAACTGTATTATTGAAGCACATCTGATACTGGAAGAAACACACACACACCAGAGATAGGGGGGGATATCGGCGTGATTTATTAAAACAAAAAAATTTGTCTTGAAAATCAGCGTCTAAATTTCGGATGGATGGATGGATAGACCCATCTTAAACCGACGAAGGGAATTTGCGGGATTTGGACGGCTTATTATAATAATACAAATGTTTGCGGGCAAATGGAATTAATATTACCTAAACATTGTAGTGTCATGTCATTGAATTCAAATGCCAATTATAGGCCAATTGGGCATGCATAATTAATATGCTTGTTTAAGCCATGGCAAAATATTAATAGTAACAACTGTTGAATACGAACAGGCACGTAAAGCGGATGTCGGTTAATATTCGTACGCGTTTCTTGAGTACTGCGCACATTAACAGTATACGTGGCGGTGCATGTCATAGTACTGTCTTAACACTTTCGCCGCGATTTTTTAATTCTAAACAATTTTCCCTTTTGTTGAAATTTGTTTTTACACGATTTTTGGTGTGCTTTTGCGTAAGCTCTCAGAGAGACATTAAAATTTTGCAAAACGTGTATTGATAAGTGATAACAAATGTAGCAAAACATATTCGAAATTATTTCACATTAGCAAGACAGAGATTTCTTGGTTTGTCGCAGTTTTCTGATCTGTCAGATATTTCCAACGCCTTGAATTTTGACGTTTGTCAATTCTGACTGTCATGTCAGTGAATGTATTCGTGTTGTTTGGCGAAAATGTAGAAAAAGTATATGCAATATGTTCGGAAAACTTTTTAAGTCACTCGGTTATTAAACACTCGCTCCGCTACGCTCCGCGTGAATCAAGTTCCGTTTACCGCACTGGGTGTATAATATACTATTAAACAAAAGACAACATTTCCTGCTGTAGTAAATTGAAATTGATTCCGAATAAAATTTTATAACGTTACATCTAAACCGCAAGATAAAGAAATTAACATTCGTCCCTCAAAACTTGCATGAGGAGCAAAGCTTGATATTGACAAAAATACGGTTGTATACGCAACACTAAATTCTAACCTAAATAACATTAAGATGGCAGATTGGAATGAAGTAGAAACAAATATAGACCACGAACTAAACTATCATTGGGATAAATAATTATAATAAGGGACCATTAATGATAATCTGTTTTACTGGAAAAAAGAACTAGAACATATTGCATAGATTTCAAATGTTTGGGAGCTGCAAGGTCATATTTACTACATACAATTTTTGCATAAAGGTGATCGCTAGGTTCTCCTAGCAGAATTGTTGTAAAACTTTTTTGCAATTTAATTAGAGCATCTAAATGAGTTTTATATGTACTATCGACATTCCACAATATCATAAAATGCCATAACTCGGCTATTACTTGACATTGACTGACAGAAATGTTCAGCACAACCTATTTTATAAGACTTCATGGGACCATCATAACTTCATGATCCGCGAAATGAAAATTTTAAATGTTTATTTCATTGACATTTATTAGTGCTATTTGTAGTAAACCAACTCCTCAAAATTTCGAGATCCCTTTTTATCTTTTGAAACAAATCGGCTTTTGCGTCTCCAGTACATAAGAGGGCAGAAATTAAAATATTCATACTCAAGTCACGTGTTAGGATCAAAGGGAAAAAAACAATTTACTGTGCAATTCTTATCCGTAACTGAATGCTATTCAGTTATGATTTCTGATTTTGTAAACAATTGTTCGTCAAGTATCCGTTCGGTAATAGTAAATGTTTAATAGATGAAAAAAATAGAAATAGATACCTAACGACCGTTAGTTAACAAGACGTTTTTGATTTCAGAGAGTTTTACTACATCCAAATGGAGAAATACGCGAGACAGGCTGTATCCGAGGGTGTCAAGAATGCTGACGATTTACACGTTGGAGCCGATTCCGAACTCTACCGGGTGCTCAATCTTCATTACAATAGAAACAATCACATCGAGGTATGGGGCCCACAGGTTCGTGAAATCCGAGACATCTGAACGACATTTTATTATTACGCTTGTTTTTGAATTAATTTCATTCGCCGCTTCTAATTTGCTTCTATTATTTTATAAACATGGTTTACTTTTTGCTCTTTCTAACACTTTGCGAAATAACCATTTGAGTAGAGATAAAACCAGAGAATTACTCCACTGGTCGTGAAATTCACATGGCACATTTCTACAGTTTTGACTTCTCTGGTTTACCTCTAATTCTTGGATTTCGATATCTTGAATGCTTTATTTTGAGAAATAGAATGTTAAATATAACATTCTTAGCTACGATGTCTTGGCTTATTCACGTTTACATAAGTTGTTTTTGTTTATTTTTATTTGTTTGAGCAGAAATGCAAAAACGCTCTAAAAAAGCTTTTAAACCATTCGAGTGCTGGATTCACCTCAGTTGTACTTGCGCTCTTGGTGCCTATGGTAATTTTTGAGTTTATTGTTTAAAAAATGTTTTTCAAACAATCCGTCGAATTTTTATCAAGCGAAAATATTACATCTAAGCTTTTCAATTTATTTAAAGGCTTTTTGTCTAATTCGTTCTTAGAACATTTATTGGAAAACATATACGTACATTATTATCGCCATTATCTATGAGTTTTGGCTAAAAAGTTTTGATAAGGTTAGATTCCCAAAAGTATTCCTTCTTTGCTAAACCAAGATAATCATAATTATCTCTCAACCATAATTACATTATTATAAATTTCTTAACGGTCATTTGCAGGTTCCTTCAAACTTCAGGTTCGTAGTCGAGCAGACGCTCAGGGAATTCTTCAAAGCCATCCAAGAAGGCCGGGACGCGGAACAGTCCTGGAAGAAGTCTATTTACAAAATCATTTCCAGGATGGACGATCCTGTACCGGAGTATTTCAAGTCACCGAATTTCCTGGAACAGCTGGAGTGACCGGCTGATGGTTCCGGGATCAAGGCGGTACCGCCGATGGTGTCCCTCTCTGTCGAAGGAGTGTGGTACTAACTGGCGGCACCGCCCAACATGCGAATCGGTGATGGTTTTGAAATTCCGCAGACAGTTGTTATTCAGAACATTGTTATTATAATAGTTGTGTTAACAGGACAATTTTAATTGCGCTTACAACAAGCAAAAAAAGTGAAATATTAATACAGAAAAAAGAGATCAATCAATTTAAAGCAGTGATCACCTGAATATTATACTGGGTAGAATTTATACATTCTTAAGAATGCCGAGTCCAAAATTTTTGTATCAAGCCAGCAGATAGCAAGTTCAAAATCTGCACTTTGAGTTTCTTGCCGGAAAATACATTCCTTAGTTTACGTTTGGCAGGTTTCCGTTTATTGCCCTCCGTAAACTGCGCTGTGTCCACGGACACTTGTACATATGTAACGAACAATTCCCGATTTGTACATAGATCTTCTTCTTTGTGTGCCATGCTCGTTTTCAAGCGTTGGCTATCATCACGGGTTCAAGTGTTAGCTATCGTTGAGTTCATAAGCTGTTGGAACGCGTTTCGATCGGTAGCTACATGAAACAATTCTTCGACTGGTCGACCTGTCCAATGTCTAATATTACGAAGCCAAGAAAGCTGTTTTCGTCCTATCCATCGTTTTCCTTCTATTTTACCCTGGATAATTAATCGAAGCATGCGATATTTATGCCCCCTCATTATATGTCCAAAGTACTGGACCTTTCTCATTTTAATGGTATTGATCAGTTCCCGCTCTTTATGTAGGGATTCTAAGACACGTTCGTTAGATATGTGTGATGTCCACGGAATTTTCAGCATACGGCGATAGCACCAGAACTCAAAGGCTTCCAATTTGTTTAGGTGTTTGACTTTCAGTGTCCAGGTTTCACATGCATAAAGCAAAACAGACCAAACATAGCATTTCAACACTCTTAGACGGGTGTTCATCGAAAGACTTCTATTGCATAACACAGAACGCCAGCCAATGAATCTTTTACGTGCAAGCTCTATTCTGGTTGAGATTTCTTCATCATTCTCAACTCTACAATCTATCCAGCTCCCCAAATACCTAAAGTGTTGTACTCTATCCAGGATTATATCTCCTAATTGTAATTTTGGATACTCGACATTAATTTTCCCAACAATCATCCACTTCGTTTTCTTTGGGTTTATACTTAAACCCTTTTCATTACATGAAGTGTTTACAGCATTCAGTAGCGTTTGGAGGTCTTCAAGACTCTCTGCCATTATGGCAGTATCATCAGCGTATCTAATGTTGTTAATGACTTCTCCACCAATTTTGACCCCTTCACGACGATATTTCAACGCATCTTCAAAGACAGTTTCCGAGTAGACATTAAAGAGCATTGGTGACATAACACATCCCTGCCTAACGCCACGTTTGATAGACACTTTCTCCGATACCTCTTGTTCCACTCTTATTCTAGCAGTCTGGTTATAATAAAGGTTTTTGAGCAATCTTAGATCATATGAATCAAGACCAATTAAGTCCAAGCAGTGAAACAGTGATGTATGCGGTACGTTGTCAAATGCTTTCTCGAAATCGATGAAACATACGTAGATGTTCTTACGAAATTCGACGCTCTTTTGCAATAGTAGTCGCATGCAAAACAATGCCTCACGGGTACCCATACCACCTCGAAAGCCAAACTGCTCGTCACCAGTCCTCTCCTCACAAAGTCGATATATACGATGGTGCAATATTTTCAGAAATATTTTAAGTGTGTGACTCATTAAACTGATGAGTCGGTAGTCACCACATTTTTTGGCGTTACTTTTTTTTGGTATAGTAACGAATAGGGATTCTAACCAGTTGTTTGGAATTTCACCACTGCTATATATCTTGTTGAAAAAGGACGTGATGATCCCAACACTTTCGTCGTCTAGTAATTTTAGCAGATCTGCAGGTACGTCGTCCGGCCCAGGGGCTTTTCTTCGCTTCGCTTGGTCTATTGCTCTCTGTACTTCAGAAACCAGTATCGGTGGGCCTTTGTCTCTGTTCGACGTCGCTTCTTGGTATACTCTTTGGTCGTCTTTGAATAATTCTTGTACATAGTTTCCCCATTCGGTACAACGCTCCTTTATTTCACTCAGTATTCTTCCATTAGAGTCTCGGAGGATACCTGTTTTGTACGTTTTACATGTATCAGTTAATTCTTTTAGTTTTTTATGTAAGTGGAAACTGTCATGCTTCTGTTCTAGTTTTTCAATTTCTAGACAGGATTCCTTTAGCCATTGATCTTTTGCTGCTTTAATTCTTTTTCGTATTTCTTTATGTATTTCATTGTATTTTTCTGTGTTTCTGTTTTTGTGTTGCCTTCTCCTATCCATTAGATCTAAAATATCTTGTGTCATCCACTCCTTTCGAGCTTTACGTTGTTTTGTTAGATTGTCTTGAGCTGTAGTCACTAATGAGGTTTTTATTTGTTCCCAATTATCATTCACATTGTTAGGGTCCTCAAATTTGATTTCATGAATCTTAGTGTTGATTTCTTGAGAGACCCTATTCAAAATGTTAGGTTCTTGGAGTGCGTCTAGGGCTATTGTAGAGGTCCTCTGGGTTCTACTAATTCTTTTTAATTTGATTTTAATTACAGAGCACAGTAAAGTATGGTCTGAATGGATATCTGCACCTGGGTAGGTCTTAACCGACTTTATACAGTTTTTAAATCTTTCGTTGATTAATATGTAATCGATCTGATTTCTTATGATCTTATCTTCTCCATCACTTGGTGCTTTCCAGGTGTATAGTCTACGTTTTGGCAGACAGAACCACGTATTCATAATAACAAATTTTTCTTCCTGGCAAAACTGTACCAAGCGTTCTCCTCTATTATTTCGAGTTCCCAAACCAAACTTTCCGGTAATATTAAGAGTGCTTTCTGACCCTACCTTGGCATTAAAATCACCCATTATAAGAGTAAGCTCGTGTTTTTTGGTCATACCTAAGGCTTCTGATATAAGTTGGTAAAGATTTTCAACAGCGGTGTCTTCTTTGTCAGCAGTGGGTGCATATATTTGTATTAAATTGACATCAACTGGATATGCAGCTAATTGTACTAGCATTACCCGATCTGATAATGGCACAAATTTCCTTACAGATTTTGCTAGCGATTTCTTTAGAATGACCGCTACACCGTTTTGATGTGACTCATCGTTGGTTCCAGAGTAAAATATTTGATAATCTTGTGAAGTGTAGGACCCGTTGTTTGGCCATCTTGTTTCGCAGACTCCCAATATAGATATGTCGAGTCTGTCCATTTCTTGCAAAAGGTTGCTTAGCTTTCCTGCTTCGTATAATGTTTTCACGTTCCATGTGCATACTTTAAGTTTTTGGTTTTTGCTTAAATTTATTGATTTTGTCCAGGGTTTTCGCTTGATGACGACCGGGGAAGCCCTGACATCTTCTCCTGCCGGATCTTGGGGTCCGATTCCATGATCAGTAACGTTTATCCTATCGCCATTTGCCATGATGATTCTTCTTGGAATATCCGTCAGGATCTTTAATATAGTGGTTTTCCGTTGCCTACTATATCTCCATGCCGTTGACCGTCTATCGGTTCATCCGCCTTTAGGAGGATTTCTCCTTCCAAGGACAAGAAGGTGCCCTAGTCTTTTTTCAGTTCTTCCACCCTCAGCTGTTGACTGAAAAAAGAGGGACTGCTTATTCCGGCAGTCACTCGGTCGGTGTACATAGATACCATTGATTAATTTATCAAATTGATTTTATCAACCAAAGTTTTATTTTTGCTAGTCGTCGAAACCCACCAGATATGGGTTTTATTTTCTTTTTAACACTCCACATTGGAAAGTAGCTGGCACCCAAAATCGCTTCCAGGTAAACGAAATGATCTTTCACCTCGAAACAACCTTGGATGTACCTACCCGTCGACCTAACCATGAAATTTAATTCCAGTGTGGAGTATTGAGCATGCAATGATAGGCAGTGAGATCAATAGATGTATGTAAATGCAATAACATATCAACCCAATGATCATGTTGCCAAGTGCATTTTAAATGCCTGGCAATATAATCATTGCGCTCGGATATTAAGTGGATATGCCTTTCATGTCTTTTTATATGTTTTCGTTTAGGATAAAAACTAAAATCTGTAGCAATATGGTCCAGTAAGTGATCCAGATTTTGTGGTTTTTATTTTACCTTTTCTTTGTGTTCCGCTCATTTCCGTTCTTTCGTTTCTTCTATTGGCTAGTTGCTCCTGTGGTTCTGTTAGCATATCTGCTTAATATTTTGTTTAATTTTAGTTATTATAGTTTATTTCACTAGCACAAATTTTTAGAGTAGGAAAACACACGATCTCTAGACACGTGTAAAGCAACTAGTCAGTTTTATTAATAAATATATTATATGATTTTATTTTAGTTTGCGTTTTTATTTTATTTTTTCTGGGGAGTGTTTGCATTTCCACAATTTACGACTGCCGTTTTGCACGAAGACTAAACATTAGATTTTTTAAAGGAAATATGGCAACATTAATATCGCAAGTCTAATAGCGTTAGGCAGCATATTTATGGGCTGATTGTTAATTTTTGTATTCTCTGTATATTTAATTATACCTTTTTTCAATAACAGCATTGGACATAGATTACTTGCGTTTAAGATAAATTGGAAACCTTTTTCTACTTACCTTGTATATTACCTTGAAAGTATATTGTTCGGATAAAATATCAAATTTCTATACTGCAACTTAAAATTTGTTTCTAACCGACTCCAATTACCATACCAATTACGTAGGTGGGAAGTCACCATACTGGACAATGTTATCAAATCACGTGAGGTTGCAAAACACTACTTGTTGCGTATATAGTTTTTGCATCATCAAGTTCTAATGCCTATTTCCCAACTAGTTTTTAAAATGGTGAAATGAAGATACCAATAACAATTACATGGGTGCTGGACAGTGTTGATACAGTTTTATAGAACTGAAACGTAAATCCTGTTTGTTTGATAGAGCTATAGGGATCAGACGTCTAATACAATGGTAACTAACACAATTACAGTTGCACACTTTGCGTTTTTTACAAAACATGGATGCTCTAGTGTTCTTATCGAAATTGATCCAGATTGAAAACTAGCAGGTAGTAGAACTTGATGCTTTCATATCCCGAAATCTAAAAGAAAATACTAATGAAAACGCCGACGACCGTGCAGAATTTTGCATTTGATTTAAATCTTTCCCACGGCAACAGCCTACGGAGGGCAATAATAAAAAACTAATCCAGCCAAAAAACCAAAAAAAAACAAGCGAATTGTATATAAAACCAAAAAACGATCGAACAAGTATTCCTTCTCATCCCACAATAGTTACGTCACACACACAAAAAGTCCCGGGAGATATTATCTTAGCCTACAACTAGGCTACGAGCTAGTGATTTACTGTTCCTAAAAGAGTTTATTC